ATGGTAAGTTACCTCTGCCTTCTGTGTGTTGTAAGGCTGTAAAATTACAGAAAATAAATAAATAAATACAAATTAATTTAAGGTAGAGATGCAGTTTACCTGACAGGTATTTTAATTAGTTAATTAAGAAACCAAGATGACCTCCCTTGTCCACAAAACTTATATTTTTGGAAAACTTATTGTATGAATTTTAAAATTTTGTTAGTATTTTTTTTTTTATGGACACTGTAGTTTGAAATATGCACAAAAATGTGCTTTTTTGGTCAAAAGTGATTTAAAAACATTAGCTTCTAAACCATGCTACTGTTTCCTGTCAAAATTAGTTTATGGGTACATCTGTTTACTATGAAGAAAAAGTCTTGAAAACTGTCTACCAGTTGTCAATTTTGCAGGGCGGCAGCTCAAATTTCACTACTTCAAGTTTATGCATAAATTACCACCCAGGCTAGTTGTCTGTACGATTGTTGTAACACTGTTTTCACCTGTTATCTATATTTTAAAATCGTTTTTTTAAATCGTTGTTCCACTATTCACAATTGTAAAAAATTTTAACAGTCTATAGCCAAGACTGTTTAAATAATAAAAAGCAAAAAAAAAAAATTTCACTCCCAAGTGCCCACGAACCTGCATCTCTACCTTAAGTGAATTCATTTATTACATTCAATTTCTCCAATGCAGCGGCCATCATTTTTTTTAGGGTTTGATTGGCCTACAAAAACAGAAAATTTAAAGATTGTCATAGTAGTGAATTATGCACAACATTTTTATTCACGGTAAGATCATTCAGCCTGGTTGCATATTATGAATATTGTATATTATTATTCAGATACCAATATACTAGATCACCACAAGAGATGGGAGTTGATCACATCGAACGTCTGTTAAAAGAACGCATCGGTACTAATCTCAAGAACGTCATCAAAGCGTTTCGTCTGTTTGATTATAACCGAGATGGTCGTATACAACGCCATGAGATGAGAAAAGTCATTGAAAATTACTGCTTTCGTTTGTCGGATAATCAGTTTGAACGGCTTTGGGGTCGATATGACTTCAACCACACTGGTATCGTCAATTACAATGACTTTCTAAGAAGACTTGGCATTAATGTTCAAAAAAATGAGAAATCTCAACCAGACACAACTAAACTAGGTAATGTCAAATAATCATTAGGTTTTATATGTGTACTGTAAAATACTTTATTTTTGCTTTGAAATTAATTTTCGCTATTTTCGCTGAAGAAATGATTCAGTGAAAATAAAATTCAGTGAATATACCTTTTTTTCTATATTTTACATTCAACTTTTTAAAATCAGTAAAAATAAATTCCATACAAAACACCCAAAATCTCTTTTCAGCGAAAATGATTTCCAGCTAAAATAAAGTATTCTACAGTATATCATGCTGCATCATAGTTTTGTAAACAGTACATTTACTGATTAACTTTGCTTACTCACTGGGTTTTAATTTAGACCCTTTCACATTTAGAAATAAAACACAGCGATTGGTTCAGCTCAAAATAAAATTTAATTTTCTTTTATTTTTAATAATACACTTTATCACAAAAAAATAAAACAATTGTGCATAGGGGTGGGTGGATGTTCTGCATTCCAAACCTTGATACAAACTGATAATTGTGTCTGCCAATATCTATTCATTTGATGTCTATCTTTTCTCTGTTAGCGATGACCTGGCGGCAAGTATATGAAGATAAAAACAAACAAGTTGAGAAGGCAGCTACCATGAACAGAACGGATGATGTTGTCAAAGGCATGACCTTTTCACAAATTGAACATGAACTTAGAAAAAGGGTTGGTACTTGTATTCAAATAAGCCTTCAGACATGGGTCTGTGTGAACAGACCATTAGACTTGGATGACATGAGTCTGTAAACCCATTAGGTGTGGGTGACATGTGTCACTGAAGCCATTGGACAAGGGTCTGTGCAAAGCAAGTCAATTTCCATTAGGTTAACATATCCTAATAGCAGTAATGAGAGGCCAAAATATGTTCATGGAAAAAAAAAAATAAGCAGCAACATTTTAGGTACAGAAGCTTTAGGGAAGTGACCAAAACCAAACTGATCAGTGTCCCGCAGGGCTCCACCAGCACCCGGGAAGTCAGGATAAGCTCCTTGGCTGCATGAAGGTCACCAACACAGGCACTTACCTGGGGTAAACTGATCAGTGTCCCGCGGGGCTCCACCAGCACCTGGGAAGTCAGGATAAGCTCCTTGGCTGCATGAAGGTCGCCAACACAGGCACTTACCTGGGGTAAACTGATCAGTGTCTCGCGGGGCTCCACCAGCACCTGGGAAGTCAGGATAAGCTCCTTGGCTGCATGAAGGTCACCAACACATGCATTTACCTGGGGTTAACCGGGGTAAACCGGCGCTCATTGTTTGTGATTATAATCATATTGTTCACATGTTCTCACCTTTCGAAAAACGACTGACTTTTTACAAGTCCCTGAAAAGGAGTACTGGTACCACTTTTAACAACGGGTGATGTATTCGCTACATTCGCTGCGATGTTTTCAACGACTAGCGCATCTTCATATTTTAATATATTCATGCAATTTGACCCATGTCTGACCTCTAGTCTAGGCAAGATTGGTACTGGGCAATGCTCTGCTAAACTTCGAAATGCTGAATTTAAGTTTCACGATTGAAAAAATAAATAAAATTACTCATTCTATATCACACCAATATTGTACTCCCAACTCACGGCGTACTATGTAATTGTACCATTGTGTTTGTTGTGAATATTTCGTTCTCCTGAATTGTTGTCGTTCGTACCGCCGACCACATGTATGGACATTCATGTGTGAATCACTACTCCTGGAAAAGCCCCGTTCCGGGGAAACTACGGTATTGCAGGGCCATGTCGTGCCGGTTGGGGCATTGGCGGGGCCCTACAGGAAACCGACCAGTTTGATTTCGGTCACTTCCCTTATAGAGGCTACACTCAGGTATTAATCTGTTTTACATTATTCTTTTGTTATCTCTTTTTGCAGTTAAAAGACAACTATGTGAATCTAAAGAAAGCATTTATGGCGTTTGACTACAAAAGAGATGGTTATATTTCAATTGATGATTTGAAGACTATTTTAATTAATTTTACTCTGCCGATGTCAGATCAGTTGTTTTCACAGCTTATGGACAGGTAAGAATTCAACAGTGTTACTTGCAGTATTGATGTATCATAAAAAAACATAATATTTACATGGTGGATTGGTGTCCTTTTTTTTTATATGTGTGTGTCCATCTGTGGGTTTGTCTGTCTGACCGTCTGTCCATCCATCCATCTGTTTGTTTGTTTGCTCTCTTCCTCAGGAATGCTTGGATGGGATTTTAAACTAGGTACAATTACTTACTAGCTTTTACTTATGGTTCAGATTTTCAATCTTGGGATTAGTACGCATAATGTTTGTAAATGTATGTGTAATGTTGTAATTAAGTGTTTAAGTTCACTCTGACATCATTCACTGCATGAGGTCACAAAACTATTATTTGAAATATTTGATTGTCTGAAGTTATTCACATTAATTATGTACTACATGTTCAAATATTGTTCATACACTAGTAAGTTTGAGTAGTGTTTCTCCATGCCTGGATCAATAACAAAGATTTATTCCTACTTTATTACAGTAATTTGCAAATGTTTTAAATATTCCTGCAGCGTATATTCATACTGTCAAGTAATATTCTCAAATTAATTAAATCAATACAGCAACAATCTCAGTACAACTATAAGGAGTGTTTTCACTATCCAATTATGTTCACAGTCACTTGAAATATTGCAGGAATGGTCGTTTACTGTTATTTTAAATTAGTAATTTAATTTTTCAGGATTTGTAACATGTATAACTTTATTTGTTGTTGTTATTTCAGATTTGGTTTCAAAGCATCTCACAAAATACCATGGGAACACTTTCTGGAAAAGTTTCAAGATCCCAGAATTGAAGGCAATGGACAAACCATTCCAATTAAATGGAATCACAAGTATGTAAACACCAAACTATCTCACTACCAATTTCATTTGGCAGGGAGCAGATTGTTAAAGAATGCAATATATTTCCTCTCTCTCTGTTTCTTATTATGTTTTTAATTTATTTTTTTATTTTTAGAGTGAATCCAATTCGTGAAAGTGACAAAAAGATCCAACCAAATGAAATTCTGAAACTTCTTCACAGGCATGTGATCAATATGTATCCATCGCTGAAACAAGCATTTTTATCGTTTGACGATGTAAGTACAATGTCTTCATCTCACGGCCATGGGGATGGAAGTGATAGGAAAGTGGATGGGAGAAATGAGGCATGAAAAATTCACCATCCTTTTTAATATAACTGGTACATTTTTGACTCATTTCATTGCTAAATTTGACGTTGGAATTAAATCAAAAGCACTGAATGAGAGCGAGAGTTCCTAAATAGATTGAACTGCTTGAAAAAAATACCTTATATAATAATATAGGCAAAGGAAAGTTGTAATTTATCAACCTTTAGACCAAATTGATTGGCATTTGCATTTAAAAAAATTATGTAAAATTCAAAAATATCATTAATACTTTTTGTACTGGAAAATAAAAGCTTAGATACCAATATATCTTCAGAATAACAGATTGTGTTTTCTTTGTCTTTGTTCCAGAATCGTGATGGCAGAATTACCAAAAGTGAGCTACGTAAAATAATAGAAACATTCACGATACGACTGACTGATTCTCAATTCAAAGAACTCTTACTTCTATTAGATCCGTATCATGATAATTTTATTGATTATCATCAATTCTTGGATTTGTTTGAAGTTAGGGAGACAGATGTAAGTACTGTTGCCATGGAAATTATTAATTGATCCAGTACATACTGCCCAAGTATTAGGAATATGGAAGGAAAATAAACTTGACTGTCTCGTGTGCTGTTCCTATTATCAGTGCAGTGTCTGCAACTTATCTTAATTTGGACCTTCTAATTGATTGTTTTGTTTAAATAAAGTAAAGTAGATATTTTCTGACAGTGTGGTACATCATCTTATTATAATCAGTTCACCACAGTACATATGTCCAAGTACTACAATCCCATTTGTACATTGTTTTCTAGGAAGGCCATAAGTGGCTGATTTCTGAGCACCGCTACAATGACCAGGCCAAACCAGCCATCTTAGCATGGGAAACAGTGGAAGAGATACTAAGGAAGAAAATAGCGGAATACTGGAAATCTGTCAGTGCTGCATTTGTTGTTGTTGATCCAGAAAAGACAGGACGAATAAGTAAACGCCACCTTAAAAGGATCTTGGAAAATCATGTGTTACCAGTTTCAGATGACCATTTTGAAAAGTTAGTGACAAAAAATTACAAAGTACTTTTAAAAAAAGTTTGACATTTTGATGAATTCAGCTCAAGTAGAGTCATAAAAATGCCTAATATTCATACAAATTTACAGTGTATATCTGCAATATTATAAACTGTATTAAAATCTTCATTATATTAAACATTGTAAATAAAAACTATTATTATTATTATTATTATTGTAGTTGAATGTTGGACATGCTGTGTCACATCATCCAGTTTATGTTTAAAAAATTGGTCTTTATAAAGTTTGATAGATTTGGATAAATTATTATATGTAAATCTAGATAGATAGAAACCACAGTAGTTCCTAGTTTTTAATTATTACAAGAATTTCTAAATAATGGTCAGCCAATCTGACAAATATATATGCTCATAATTGTAAATACATTGTAGCTGTCTTCAGTTGTTACATTTACAATAATGGGTGCTACTTACAAATATTCTCAATAAACGACTGAACTGACTGTTAGTATCATCTGAATAACAGCATTTACATAATCTTCTCATTTAATTTTTTTCTATTTTTACAGAATGTGTAGTTTATGTGATGAAAGTGAAGATGGTAAAATTATGTTTGCAGAGTTCTTAGATCGTCTTGGCGTTGATATTTCACCAGGTGATCTGTACGGAACGAGTACACAGATACATGTCAATAGTGAACTAGCGGAAGTCACTCGCAGAGCTGATATTGACAATAGGTAAGATAGTAAACAATAATATTGCTTCAGTTTAAAAGTTATATATAAATAATTATTCTACACTTTTCACATACAAGGTTGTAATTATGAGAAAAATCCAATAGTAACAGCAGAAATACTTATATTTAATTAAGTTTTATTCTGCACATTGGTTTTATAATTTATATTCAAACTAGTAAAAAGTCTTTTTAAGGCAGCAATTATTAACCAATGTTTGCATATAAATCCAACACTTGTGTTTGTATAGGCAATACCTACTAAATGTGACTCTAAAAATAATCTGATGATGTCTCCATGGAAATAATTATTTTGCTGTGGTGTGTGCTTGATTTTTTAAACAATTCAGATTGTTTTTATCACCTTCAATTCTGAATGTTACAGACTTACACCATACTTTACACCCACATTTAATGAATTTGCCTGATTTCTAGATTACACAACGTACGTAAGAATGCATTAGAAAGGACAACTCAGATGAAAGCAGACGAAGTGATTGTGAGATTGAAAGACCGAATGTCACAACATGACTCTGCAATAAGAGATACATTTCTGAAATACTGTTCTAATGGTAAAACAACATTGACTAAAAAAGAATTCAGAAAGGTAAGAGGTGACATTTTTACACTGTTGCCATTGTAGAAACGTGACAGATAGTGTACATGTATGTTATGCCATGATAGCAAACAACTCTGTTCACTTATGTCTGAAAAAAATATTACTGAAGTTGCCATTTACTGTAGAAAACAAATCTTTAAAAAACACCTCAAAATTTCCAGTCTTATGGTACAGTACATTGTCATAATGTCATATTCTGAATAAAGCCATAAACATAAATAACAAGATAGTTTTATCAAAATGTAAACTGGTATGTAATATCACAACCAACCAATCATATTTGTTCTGTTAGTTCCTTACAAAATTATAGGTTGATTTGTAGTGTAGACTGAACAGTTTATAGTGAACCACTCAATCCCATGGATTGCACCAAAGAATCATGGGACACTATTGTTTATGTTGTTTACAAAGTTAATCTATCTTTTGTTATCCATTGTAATTTTAATCCAGAAAGTAAATTTGTTGTGAGATTAGGCTTAATTGGAAGTGCCCCTTTAAGGCCAGGTAAAAAAATCTCTGTTTCTCGTTTCATGGAAATTTTAAAATGAGGCGGTGAGGTGATTTTTCTCTCTCAGCCTAACGTATGTTAAGTACATGTATAAAGCAAATACAGTATTTCTGTAATTTGTTTGCAGGTCTTGGAAAGTTTTGGAATGTACATGGTGGATGAACATTTCAATGACCTTGTCCTTCGGCTGGGATTTAACAAAGGTCAGCTCAGCTATTCTGATTTTGTCCTAAATTTTGAAGATCCTCGCCGAGCGGGACCTGGTGAAGAGATTCAACGGACTCCAAATCATCGGTACAATAAACTTGATATGCAACTGATGAGTGCGTTGGAAGTAGAGGCACAGTTACGAGACAAACTACGAGAGGGGTTTTCAGTAAGTATGCTAGTAGAACTGTGATTATAGAGAGGAGAGGGGAGATGGAAACTAGAAGAACTGTGAGTACTGGTACCGGTACAGAGTAGGGCAGTATGACTTTTCATGAAATGCAATGCAAGACTACTGAGATAGTCTTTCATAGTTCAGTGAGAATGTTTTTATTTTTGCATCATTGAACTACCAATACCATATTCTGTGAGAATAAAATCACGTCCAGCCAAACTGCAATGAAGAGTCAGTTTTTCGCTGTAGTTTTGCACTTATTCACTTATAACCAATCATGACTAGTGATCTACGTTACCCTCTGACATTTTAGTTTTAAGACTATTTATGTCATGTGACTTATTATTAGTCTGAATAAACATGAATTGTGGTAAATACATTGTATGCCCTAAAAGTAATAATTTCAGTGATCTTTACAGTGTCTCAATCTGATTAAAATCTGATAGTGTACAGACTTTAATTATTTTGGCTATAAACTTATTTTAATTTTATTTTTTATTAATGCCTTTTTGTTTTACTTTGATTTTTATTTTGTGATTTTTTTTAATTCCGCCCTATCTACATCTGATCCGACGCCTATGTAAGTCCCCTTCAAATCTCGCCTAAGTAACAACCAATCACAGCCCCCCTTTTATACAGGCTGTCAGTTGTATACGGGCAATCTTTTTGTACATTATATTTTGCCCACTTAAATAACCCATTAATAGAAAATTGCTAGTATATTTTTATTTACAAAAGAAATTCCACAGCATTTTACAATTTTTGTCATTACATTGAATATTTTTTTCACTTTCAACAAATGTGTACACTTCCAGATACATCTTCGCCAGCCAAGGTTCGTTCATTCAGTCATTGCTTCAATTTTACATCAAACACTGAGCATAATTATCTAGAATGGAAGCAAAAAAATAAGTAAATCGTAATGATTAGAACACTGTAAACAGCTATAGTAAACAATGCAAACTGATTTTAAATTGTATAACGGTCACCGGCCCACGGCATCGACGCAGAAAATTGGAGCAACAAAATATTTCCTGATCAATTGCGATGTGTTCCAAATACAAAATATTTTATTCCAGTCCAAATCAGCTCAATTACTTTAATAAAGAGTTATTGTATAATGTACAAAATGTTGATACAATTTGATGAATATTTACAGCTTCAATACCGTAGACGATGTAACATAAAAATGACTTTCGTTGCATTTGACAATGATAAACTTACTGAAAAGCCATGTTTTTCTCGGTCGCTAACGTCGGTATAATCCGCCATTTTATTTGAGTGTGTTTGCCACCTGATTCTGCCCGGTGACGTCATCATGTGCGCTATAGAAGGAGGTCTGTGATTCGTTGACTAAAATCGTTGATAGTGGGTCTCGTTGAAATCTCGTTACATAGGCATTGGGTCAGATGTATGTAGGGCGGAATTAAAAAAAACCACGAAATCAAAATCAAAGTAAAATATTAATAAAATAAAAAGGCATTAATAACAAAAGTAATAAAAAATAAAATTAAATTAAGTTTATAGCCAAAATAATTAAAGCCCGTACACTACATCAGATTTTAATCAGATTGACAGTGTCTGAAAGCTGGCGATTGTTTTCCATTCGATTTTCTGTTTACTAATGCTTTTGTATCAATGTATTGTGTGGATACTGCAATTTTAAACACTATCGATTCTGGAACCTATCGATCCTCAGATATATCCATGTATTCATACATATTCATTAAATATGTCACATCATCTAAGGGTATTTGAATAATCAGAACCTTTAATTCTTTTCTTTCCAGGATCTACGCCAGGCATTTTACAAACTTGATGACGATCATAATGGCCTTGTGAGAAGGGAAGATTTTCGTCATCTCCTTGACTCATTCATGTTCCACATGACAGATGAAGAATTTAATAAATTGATGGGTAGTTTAGGAATCGGTAAACGAACCAAACTCAGCTATAAAGACTTCTTGGCAAAGTTTCAGCTGACTGACAATGCAGAGGGGCATCCATGGTTGAATTCCACTCACAGGTAACAATTTAATAACTGTTTAACCGTTTTGTCTGTTGGTGGTTAGAAGGTATCGAAGGAGTCACCGGTGGTAATTAGTGCAAGTCGCGCCCAGGAAAAACCTCATACTTGTGATTTTTAGTCCCCGTTCGGATGCAGTTCGAAAATGGAGACTTATGTTTTGACCTTCGTGTGTCCGTGCGTGCGTGCGTGTGTGTGTGCGTCTGTGCGTGCGTCCAAACCTGTATCTTAGAAATGCCTGGACCAATCACAATCAAACTTCACACATACATCATACATGATAGTATACATATGCACGTCAATTTGTTTCACGATCTGATTCAAGATGGCCGAATGGTGGCCATTTTTGTGCTAAAAATCATCAAAAACAAGCATTTCTCAGCTATAAACAGATGGATTTTGTTCAAACTTGGTATATACATTAGACATTATAGGACCTTGATGCACATCATTTTGTTTTACGATCTGATTCAAGATGGTCGAATGGCGGCCATTTTTGTGCTAAAAAATCATCAAAATCAAGCATTTCTCGGCTGTTTACAGTTGGATTTTGTTCAAACTTGATATATACATTAGACATTATAGGACCTTGATGCAAATAATTTTGTTTTTTAGATAAGATTCAAAATGGCCGACTGGCAGCTATTTTGTTTTAATGAATGTGGTTCTCGTGCCATATCTCTGACTTGCTTTCACTGATTATGTTCAAATTTTAAATATTCATTATACATCATGTCATAGATAGACAGATATATTGGTTTGACGATCCTATTCAAAATGGCCAAATGGTGGCCATTTTTGTGCTAAAAAATCATCAAATATCAAGCATTTATGGATGGATTTCGTTCATAATCATATTCCTGACATGTTTATATTCCAGCTATATTACTATAAACAAAACTATATATCCTGAATTTGATAACTAACGGGGACTGTGCCATGCATGGCTTGTCATTAAAAGAGCACATTGGATTGTGGGAAAATCAATGTTTATCAATACAAATGTCGCACATGCGCAGTGTGACGACTGCCATGCTTTAAGTATGATTTTTTTCTTTTTACTACTGTTTTTGTCATTTTGTTTTGATATTATAAAAGCCCCACATAGATCATAGAAAGTATGCTTCATCCAAAAATTTGACTCAGAATGCTTGTTTCAAACAGCAAAGCAAGTTTTTTGATTGATTGATTCACTCTGAAAATGATAGCAAAAGTTTGTGTGTTGTTTTAATCATATTGCCAAGTGTGCTTGCTACAGTACGGTAGCTGACAAGGGTACTAGTATTGTCAAATAAAATGTATCAATTATAACCATTGAGACATGCATCTTGATTGGCTTGAGAAGCTTTCCCCCCTTTCTATTGACCAATAAAATTTCTTGATACATTACAGGTACAACCATATAAAAGACCCTACAGAGTTGGCAGCAGACCAAGTTCATGAGATTCTTCTGTCCAAGGCAAAGAGGAACTATGCAGACTTAGCAAAGGCATTCCGTAGTATCGATAAACGTGGCAATGGTGTCATCAAGAAACGGGAATTGAGAGAATTACTTTATACATTTATGCTTCCCATGACAAAGAAAGAATTTGATAAGCTGTGGATCAGGTAGGAAGCATTCCTATGTATAGTGGACTCCATGTAATAATATTATTAATATTAATGTTAAAATGGTGACTATAGTTTTCCCAAGTTATTAAAATCAGTATCCCTTCAGGAAATGGATTTTAATTTGCTAACAAATATAAGTTTAACTAAATATGACAGTATAATTATGCATCACCCCTTACTTGAAATGAACTAATCCATGCCATGGGATATACCAATAAATCTATGGGGGTGACAAACTACCATAATTTCTGCTGTCTAGAATACGATCACATTTTCATGTTTTGTTAATCCTTCTTCATGCTAACATTTCAGATATGACCCTGAGTATAAGAATCACATTGATCATCGTCATTTCCTTGCTATGATGGGACTTGGTATGGCATTTGCACCTGGTGATGATGAAGGAACCAGTCGTCGTATCATTGAAGACAGTTATCAAGCGTTAGACGCACACCATGAGAACCAAGTACAGAAACATCGTGCAATAACACTGAACCAAGCCCGTTCGTCACAGTCTTTGACATCTGATCAGCTGATCCAAAGGCTGAAAGACAGATTCCGGGACCACTACTCGACATTCCAGGATGCTTTCCAAAAATCTGATAAGATTAAAGATGGCAAGATATCAATATCTGAACTTCAGAAAATTCTTGTTGATCTTAATTACCTAGTCGATGACGAGACCTTCTTTGAATTCCTTGACAAGTAAGTATTCTTTAATAAACAACCGTTTTTTTTAGAATTGGGAAAAGATTAGACAGAGCACAAGTCATTTTCAGAAATTCTAGTAAATAAATGGCGGTGGTTGTCACAATATATCATATTTGATATGGGTAAAATATAATATAAAATTCTAAAATATAATATAAAATAATACTACTATAATATAATAATGATTATTTAGTAATATTATTTATATAGTAATAAATCCAAATTTAACAAATGCTGCACCAAGATTGTTGATACAGTCAAACCTGTGTTAGTGACTACCAGTACCTCTATATAAAGACCTCATGCCTGTAATGATCATTTTTAGGCAGACCTAAGACATAACATACAGTATGAGAAACTCTGTGTATAAAGACCACCTGTCTTATAGTGTAACCATCGATACAGCAATATTTTTTTGTAGATTTTCTTTTGTTTAGAGACCAAAGTAATAATTAGCATTCTATTTCTAAAACAATTTTTAATTTCTGCAAACTTATCAGATTTTCATCAGCTCAAATAAACATTTTTGTTGCAACAGTACTGTTTCATTATTTACTGCATAAATAAAATCCAATCTCACTATAAAGACCATGTAAATGCATGGGTTTTTTTGGGAGGTCTGACTGTATTATGGATGTGTATTGCATCCTTAGGATTGGCATGCCAACAAATAAGACAAGGTTGTCATATGAACAGTTCCTGTCTGCATTTGACGAGGCACAAGAACCAAGGTATAAGAAAAAGAACAAACCGGAAGTGACTGTAGAAAGTTTCTCTACATTACAACCTGAGAAAGCATTGAAGAAGTTGAAGCGTATAGTTTACAGTGATAGAGATGTACTAAGAGCTGTGAGTAGTCAAATATTTGTGTATTTGTTTGTATGACATTTTAGGAACAGTGCATTAGTCTTAAAAATAACTTTTAAAATAACTATTTTTCAATCAATTACATTAAAATTTCATCTCAAGAAAAGTTAGGCCATATGGTGCATTTTTGTCAATATTCTCCAATTTGTTGATACATACTAGTGTACTGAGTCAAACACAAGGCTCTACTATGATTGACAAGGGCTGAGCAATTCCAGAACGACACAGGTTGTAGATCACTGTTAATAAATGCTGATTGAGTCATCCTATAGCATGCCTGCAAATGATCAAGGAATATCCAACCATAATCAACTATGGTCTGGTTTGCTGTCCATTGATGACCAGGGTCTAGTTTGACTCTTGCATTTGATAGTCAACCATAGTAGTTGATGGAGGGACCAGCCACTGACTTTTGAATGTATGTTGTTTCATTGATTTATTGTTTTCAATTCTCAGGCATTCAACTCATTTGATCGTGATCACCAAGGTCGTCTTAGTGCAGGAGAATTCCGCCGTATTTTGGATCATTTCTGCTTCAAGCTGACAGACAAGCAGTTCAAATTGCTGATGACTAAGGTCAAAGTTCATTCTGATCTCTCCATTGATTGGTTGCAGTTCCTAGATGACTTTAGTTGTGATGATAGAACAGTAAGTACATTTATTTTCCTTCAGCAGATTTCTGGCATGAGATATAGTGGTTCACATCTGTTCATCTGTATGGAACCACATCAGGAGCGCTATTGCAAATAAAAACATTCACACAGTGTTATATTGAAGAAATTGCATACTAGATCTGATCAATATGTCATGACCATATATGGTCATTAAAAAATACATAAATATCATATCTAAAGCACTATTGCAGATAGATATATTCAACCAGTGCTTTATTTAAACTTCATCAATAAATGTAATTTTTCAGTCACTTCATTATTTTGAAAAATGTCTGTGTTGAAATCTCTAGGTACAAGTTTCAAACATACAAACTAATTTAATTACTTTCTAAATTGGGAATTGTACTTTCAGCTGCATCTCAAAAACCACCTTTCACATTGTACACTGTGAGTTCACAGGTCTCATTAGCTTTAAATACAATACATATTTATAATATTAGGGTAATTAGTTACATTTGCATATTTTATTCCCAAGGAATAATTATAGTAGTGTATAAATAATTAATATTAAGTACTTCCTAAGTGGACTCGTATGTCTAAAGCTTGAATGCATACCTGTGTGCTATTTACACACCCAACACAATCACTTCACATAGTCACGCCAGTTTGCTGGGGATTTACCATCTCTGATGGTTTTCATATTTCTATATATGATAAACATGTGACTTTTAATTATTCAAAACGATGTTCGCATTTTTGGAAGCAATGTGAGAAAATGATTTTTGAGGTTGTCAATAGATAACAATGTAAAAGTTGTTATTATTGAATTGCGCAGGTTGCACAGAATTGGTTGGAATCTGTTCAGAAAGTAGCCAAAGATGCATCACCTCGACCAATGGGAGTTGATGAAATCCAGATGAGGTTGCAAGAGATTATTAGCGCTCGGTTTTACCAGTTTGCAGAAAGGTTTTCTGAGATTGATTATGCAAAGATTGGAGTGATCGCTAAAGACGACTTCAGAGATGTAATACAAGATAGTGCTTTTCGGCTTACAGACTCACAGGTAAATTGATCTCACTGACTGCCCAGTAAAAGTTTCCACTCAAATGACAACAAAGTTATCATATTTCCCATAATAGTTGGAGTTACTAAATCACATAGTAAGTTTTTACTGCGATAGAATTTTGCGATTTTCTTGAAAATTTTGTACAAAATTAAGCTTTTTACAGTATTTTTTCTGGATTCATAGATTTTATAATTTCACCCAAAAAATGAGAAGTGAGAATAACACTGTTTCAATTAATAAATTATTTGGAATCCATGTGTTTGTCATGTTGTATGTTTGTCATGTTGTGTGTTTGTCATGTTGTGTGTTTGTCATGTTGTGTGTTTGTCATGTTGTGTGTTTGTCATGTTGTGTGTTTGTCATGTTGTGTGTTTGTCATGTTGTGTGTTTGTCATGTTGTGTGTTTGCCATGTTGTGTGTTTGTCATGTTGTGTGTTTGTCATGTTGTGTGTTTGTCATGTTGTGTGTTTGTCATGTTGTGTGTTTGTCATGTTGTGTGTTTGTCATGTTGTGTGTTTGTCATGTTGTGTGTTTGTCATGTTGTGTGTTTGTCATGTTGTGTGTTTGTCATGTTGTGTGTTTGTCTATCTGCTCGTGTACATTAATTTATTTCTTTCAAACTTGCTACAAAGACAATTTATGATATCATACATACATGTTAATTTTGTTTTTAATCAAATATGGCTGACTGCCAACCATATTTTGGATGTAAAATAGTCCTAATACATGAATAATACACAATTTAAATACACAATTTAAATAATACACAATTTAAATATATGTATTACTGTTTTCATGCTGCCGATACAAAGGTTGAATAAACATTATTATTAATATTATTATTATTATTATTATTATTATTATTATGAATGTGTATCTCAAATTCTTTTTAGCTTAATCCTGGTGATTTGATTCTAAAATGTTGAAGGCACCTGAATTATTAACAGGAACTATGTCATTTACAATGCCTTGTATTCATGTTTGTTTATTGCCTTATTATCTTATATAGTTTGAAAAACTCTGGTCTACACTTGATATCAACAAATTTGGAAACTTGGAATATCGTAAATTCCTGAACAAGTTTTCTACCACATTACCGAATGGTTATGATCCACCTGGTACTGCGATGTCCAGACCATCAACTTCGGCAACAATGCGCAGCGGTAGTAGAATGAGCCGCATGGTAAGTAATGGAAAACTTTAGATTCCTGCTGATAGGATATTCTGAATAATAACAACATGCATAAAGCAATCCAGTTTCATTTTTACCTCGATAATGTTTTATGAATTGCAATTTCAATTTGTCTCTTGTGAAATAATGGTTATAAACATTGTGTTGCTATGGTAACATCTCACTTCTAAGGTAACATACATTGTATTGCTATAAGTAGTACTACTGTAAAGTTTTGAATCATGCAAAAATCAGGGGAATGAAAACAAATTTTCTCCTTTATGACATCACTTGGTCAGATTATGATTCAATCATATTTGTGGTCCTAAATTGGTTTCTGACGAAGCCCTTGAAATGATGTCTTGATTCTTACTATTATCGTCTCTCCACAGTCCGATTTGTATGGTCGCCGTACGACAACACCAATGGTAAATGCTGAGAACATTGAGAGAAAACTAAAAGATAAAATCTACAAATATTGGCAAGACATCCAGAAAATGTGTCGACTGAAAGATGACAATGACAGCGGTGAAATTGACATTTATGATTTCAGAGGTGAGTTTGTTAAAATAATTAAAATTATAAAAACAATAGACAACACATGTATGAGTGTCTACACACTTATTTTTAAATATTTTAACATTGCCATGTGCTGGCCCATGGAGATATTCTCAGGATTTTCACTGCCTTGCAACCACAACCAGTGGAAACAATGGTCGAAAACTCACAAAAAACAGTACATGTGCAACATGTATAAATTTAGTTGTTCTCATAGTTTGTGCTGTGACTGGACTTTAGCGGTTTTCATCGGTCAGTGCATAGCAATACATGGTATAATGTGCGTCATAGCAATGTAGAACGTTCATGGCTCGCTGCCACAGAGAATGCAAGAATGCATAGCCACTTGGTGACCATGTACAGATTTGGTTTCAGCATTCAGTATTCTACATTACCAAGTACATGTACATGTTTTTTTAATTTTGTTATGAGAGTGCTTTCCAATTTATGTAATTTACTTAACTCTGTTTTATCATCAGATATTATGGAACAGTTTCAGCTTTATCTGCCAGCGGATGAATTCCAACAACTCATGCAGAAATATGATTTACAAGAAAATGGAAAGTAAGTTGATTAATGTGTGGCTTAATGATCCATCACAGACTTAGATGAAATGTATGATGGGATATGTCAACCATGAAATGTATGATGGGATATGTCCATCATAAACTTAGATGAAATGTATGATGGGATATGTCCACCATAAACTTAGATGAAATGTATGATGGGATATGTCCACCATAAACTTAGGTGAAATGTATGATGGGATATGTCCGTCCACCATAAACTTAGATGAAATGTATGATGGAATATGTCCACCATAAACTTAGATGAAATGTATGATGGGATATGTCCATCATAAACTTGGATAAAATGTATGATGGGATATGTCCATCATAAATTTAGATGAAATGTATGATGGGATATGTCAACCATAAACTTAGATGAAATGTATGATAGGATATGTCCATCATAAACTTAGATGAAATGTATGATGGGATATGTCCATCATAAACTTAGATGAAATGTATGATGGGATATGTCCATCATAAATTTAGATGAAATGTATGATGGGATATGTCCACCATAAACTTAGATGAAATGTATGATGGGATATGTCCACCATAAACTTAGATGAAATGTATGATGGGATATGTCCATCATAAACTTAGATGAAATGTATGATAGGATATGTCCATCATAAACTTAGATGAAATGTATGATGGGATATGTCAACCATAAACTTAGATGAAATGTATGATAGGATATGTCCATCATAAACTTAGATGAAATGTATGATAGGATATGTCCATCATAAACTTAGATGAAATGTATGATGGGATATGTCAACCATAAACTTAGATGAAATGTATGATAGGATATGTCCATCATAAACTTAGATGAAATGTATGATGGGATATGTCCACCATAAACTTAGATGAAATGTATGATGGGATATGTCCACCACTTATTGATGTTCTCATGTTGTTTTCGCTGCAAAAATTTTTCACGATTTGATGGAAGTCAAATTTAAGGAAATCGCTGACTCCGCTGTCTAAATTGTCCCAGATGTCCTGACAGTATTACTATAGGGTGCCACACTGTGGTGTGATTTGTGTAATTTGGCATTAATGAGCCAAATTGATCAGCACTAGTTTGTGATTTGATGTGACATCATTTATATATATTTAAAATTCAAATTATACACTTATTTTTTATTTACTCATTTGTTTATATATCAACTTCATTTGTATATTATCTGTATATATGTTTTATAGTGAAATAAACTTCATTCATTTTCCGCGAGTTATTTCAATTATAAACAAAAATACTTACAGTGACGTCCTCAGAAGCATGCCTATAACTGTAGTGTTGTTTTCTATTTTAGATTTAATTATAATTCCTTCCTGCGTAATTTTGTTCTACGATTAAAACCAATCACAGAAGAAGAGTCAACAGATAATACAGATAGATTGTTACAGAGAAAACAGATCCATCCAACCAGGGTGCCGGTGAGTTAAATTTGTAGTAAATGTATGGACTTGATACCTTGGCTCATTTCATTGATAGCGCCCTCTATGGCAGATAATGAATTATTGGCTTGTTCCTGGACTTAATGCACAAAGCCACTAGTATGAACATTTTGATTGGTCAATCAAGTATTAATTTACATGATATAATTTTTTCCTGTACACTTTGTAAAATACCTGTGTTGTGTTTGTTCTGTTAGAACCTTATATCTAATAGAAGCATTTTTACTGAATCAATTCCACTGAATTTTTACCATAGAAACACTGCTATAATTTATGTAAATGCATGTGTTACTAATAGAGAAAATATGGCTTACTTCGGGTGCTTTATCTAGTAATCTTAAACAATTAAGTCAGGTTTAAAAATAAAAAAATTGTTGGTGACCCCTCAAATCTAATTTTCCAATCCCATTTTTTTTAGATGAAAGTAGGTGTGGTGAGTGACAACTTAATGGAGGCAATGTTGAGAGTACGCGAGTGCGTTGTACAAAATTGGAAACAGATGAGACGTACATTCCGAGCAATTGACACTACTGCCATAGGGACAGTCTCCCCATTGGAATTCCGTAGCGTGCTTCGTCAGTTCAATATCAACTTATCAGAAGATGAATTTTTCCATTTAATGACTTACTACGATAAGGAAATGTCAGGCAGAGTCTCCTATAATGACTTTCTCAGAGCTTACTTAAAACCATAGTGACCGTTTATAATTTGTTGCTGTAGTGTTTTCCTCATTTGAGTGTATGAGGGCGCTATGCACTGTTAATCAAAACAAGATTTACTCTGATACTACCTTAGGGAGAACGTCAAAAGATCGATGTCGGATAAAAAACTTATTTGCTTTAGTTTGGGGGTGGGGGGTTTTGACTTTAAAAAGTTTCCATCCTACAAAAACGATTTTATTTTTTAATGAAGTCAAAAAAATCATGGAGTATTTGTAGTTCATTTTTTTTCTATCCAATCATGGAAAAAAATAACAGGAAATGAAAAAAAACACATCCAAGACGAGAAAATGGTTTTGTCCGAGTGTAAATATGTGCATCCAATGAGGTCAATTTCAGGGCATGCACCTAGAACCAACTGCTATGCCATACTACTGTCTGAGTGTCAATTTGTATTTAATGGTGAATGTATATATTTATCAATTAAGTTTCAGTGGGGGCTAGGGGGTTGGGGAAAAAACTAATGGAATTAAGTTTTTTATCCGACATTGAACTTTTGATGTTGTCCCTTATACGTATTTGATGCACAATTTGCTGACAAGATTCCGTCCATGTCCAACAGTAAGTATTAAATTCCAGCAAAAAAGACAGAGGCGATTATTTGCATGATATTCTGATTACATCAGTATCTTCTTCAGGATTTCAGACCAAACCCTTATCTGCTAAGTACTAGTGTGATAATTATAACACAAGTTACTATATTTGTTCTATTAACAACATTTTCTCTGAAGACTGAGACTTGTACAATTTCAGCGTAGGGTTAGATATTCACTTGAATTTATAATCTAACAATATAAATAGTCACACAGGTTGCATCGCTTAAATTAATGTCATATTTTTTTTGTTTTTTATTGTTTCCTAGTAACACAAATATGACCTTTGAGAATGACACAAAAGTGAGAACATTATTATGCAACATTTATGTTACCGTAGTTTTTCTCTGTAAAACCTTAATTAGTGAGAATCCAAAAATGTTGTTGTACGTTTTTCTTTTTGGTTTTTAATCTCCTAATGTGTGTATATTTCTTGTAATATATTATGTGTTGGCCTCATGCAGCTGCTAGTTGTATTCACCTGTTTTTTGACTCCCATGTGTGAAGCACAAAAAGGGAGTCTTTGCAGTTAGTGTGTGTGTGTGTGTGTGTGTGTGTGTGTGTGTGTGTGTGTGTATGTGTGTCCATCTGTTCCACTGATATCTCAAGAACCATACATTGATTTTTGATGAAACTTGGTGCATATATGCTCTGGGTCAATGCGCAGATTTGATTAGGTTTTGGTAAAAATCCATGCATATTAATTACCTAATTTGCATAATAATTCGCTGTTCCACTGATAGCTAAAGAACCACTCATTAGATTTTGATGAATCTTGGCACACGGATGCTCCAAACTAATGCGCAGATTTGATTAGTTTTGGGTAAAAATCTGTGCAATATTAATTACCTAATTTGCATAATGATTAATCAATTTTCGGCTTTTCCACTGATATCACATTTCAATAAAACTTGGTACATAGATGTCATAGGACACTGCACAAACCTGATAGTTTTTAGGGTAATATCAGTATATATTAATTAGCTAATTTGCATAATTAATTAATTTTCAGCTTTTGATATTTCAAGTAGTAATCATCACATTTCAATGACACTTGGTACATAGATGTCATAGGACACTGCACAGACCTGATAGTTTTTAGGGTAATATCAGTACATATTAATTACCTAATTTGCATTATTAGTTAATGTTCAGCTTTTGATATATCAAGTAGTAATCATCATATTTCAATGAGACTTGCTACATAGATCTAGGATTATGCAGACACCTGATTAGTTTTAATTGGATATTAATTACCTAATTTGCATAATGTTCCACTGATATATAAAAAACACAAATTGGATTTTAATGAAACTTTTAAAGAGAACTATGCAGAAACCCAATTAGTTTTTGGTAAATATTTATGCTTATTAATCACCTAATTAACATAATTAACACTGATCATCACATTTGAATAAAATTTGGTACATAAATGCTCTAGGACAATAGACAGGCCTGATTAATTTTGGGTTAAAATTTGTTCATATTAATTCTCTAATTAGCATAATAATTCATAATTTTGTTGTTCTGTTCATATTAGTTACCTGATTTACATAATTAGTTTTCAGCTTTTCCATCAATATCTCATGTACTAGTAATTTTGAATTAATTTTTAATGTGTCTTCAATACTCTCAGCACACGGGAGTTCTTTCTAAGCTTTCTTTGATTAAGCATGGGGGGGGGGGCACTACTTTTATCCGTCCAATATCAGCATTAAACTGCAACATATTATTTCTGTTCTGTTAAATTGCTTTGAAATTGTATATAATGAGATGTACATTTGAATTTGCAGAATAGACTTCACACTGTGTGGGTTAACAAACATAAATTGATTCACCACTGCTCTGTAAATTTGTCATATGCAATCTTAGGGATTTACCATTAGAAACTATGGAATCAAAAGAGTGCCTTTTTTTGTTACATATACATGTTTTTTGTTTTTGTAATTTTTCTCCCAGGAGAACAATTCTCAATTGTTTACCCACAATTGTTAGAGTATCTAATGGTGAGCTAGGAGTTTAATATAGATTAGTCACCTGGTAGCTGGTAGTACAAATATTACATAGCAAAGAAAGGTCTGATTTGTAAATTATAGATTGTTCCACTATTACCACAGAGGGGTATATTTGGAATAACCTATGCAATAGTATTCATACATTTATGCATAATAATTAGTATATTTCCGTTATGCACATGATTAAAATTGTATGCTGGGAAAATTCAATAATCTGTTGTTACTTATTCACAAGAAAGTGTGCAGTTTTGTATGTATATATTATGCCTGATATTTTAAATAAAATATCCATTTTTGATTCTACCAAGTGTATTTCAGTGTAATAATTTGATTGGAAGTGGCTGTTAACTCGTACCCAAAATGAATGGATGGCAAAGATGACACTGAGCATCAGCAATACCGGTAACCCATTTACTCATCTTGTTAAAGATTGCCCAACTGGACATAGTTTCTTAAATACGGCGCCAATTGTGCAGACTGGTTTTTCATGTGCACAATGTTGGATTAGCAGTCTAGTTGACTTGACAAACATTTGTCCTTTTATTTCGTTTCCACTGGTCCAGAGAATCTTTGGGTGATGACACTATGATGGTGTTACATTGTTGTAAAACCAGTCACTTGGTAGTTACGTCAAGAAGGCTGTAGTAAACCTAACCTACCAATCAGTGCCTCCATTCTAAAACCAGTCACTTGGTAGTTACGTCAAGAAGGCTGTAGTAAACCTAACCTACCAATCAGTGCCTCCATTCTAAAACCAGTCACTTGGTAGTTACGTCAAGAAGGCTGTAGTAAACCTAACCTACCAATCAGTGCCTCCATTCTAAAACCAGTCACTTGGTAGTTACGTCAAGAAGGCTGTAGTAAACCTAACCTAACCTACCAATCAGTGCCTCCATTCTAAAACCAGTCACTTGGTAGTTACGTCAAGAAGGCTGTAGTAAACCTAACCTACCAATCAGTGCCTCCATTCTAAAACCAGTCACTTGGTAGTTACGTCAAGAAGGCTGTAGTAAACCTAACCTACCAATCAGTGCCTCCATTCTAAAACCAGTCACTTGGTAGTTACGTCAAGAAGGCTGTAGTAAACCTAACCTACCAATCAGTGCCTCCATTCTAAAACCAGTCACTTGGTAGTTACGTCAAGAAGGCTGTAGTAAAATGCACTTACACAGTAACCTACCAATCAGTGCCTCCATTCTAAAACCAGTCACTTGGTAGTTACCTCAAGAAGGCTGTAGTAAACCTAACCTAACCTAACCTACCAATCAGTGCCTCCATTCTAAAACCAGTCACTTGGTAGTTACCTCAAGAAGGCTGTAGTAAACCTAACCTAACCTAACCTAACCTAACCTAACCAACCAATCAGTGCCTCCATTCTAAAACCAGTCACTTGGTAGTTACCTCAAGAAGGCTGTAGTAAACCAAACCAAACCTAACCTAACCTAACCAACCAATCAGTGCCTCCATTCTAAAACAAATGCAGATTGGTAATGTTCTTCCATGTTTACCTTATGAATATGCAAATCACAGCTCTCAAACCTTGTACACAATTTCGCCTGCCTGTACTCAGAACTGGCAGTGTGGAGTTTGTGTATACTCGAAACTGGCAGTGTGGAGTTTGTGTATACTCGAAACTGGCAGTGTGGAGTTTGTGTATACTCGAAACTGGCAGTGTGGAGTTTGTGTATACTCGAAACTGGCAGTGTGGAGTTTGTGTGTACACGGAACTGGCAGTGTGGAGTTTGTGTGTACACGGAACTGGTAGTGTGGAGTTTGTGTGTACACGGAACTGGCAGTGTGGAGTTTGTGTGTACACGGAACTGGCAGTGTGGAGTTTGCGTGTACTCGGAACTGGCAGTGTGGAGTTTGTGTATACTCGAAACTGGCAGTGTGGAGTTTGCGTGTACTCAGAACTGGCAGTGTGGAGTTTGCGTGTACACTGAACTGGCAGTGTGGAGTTTGTGTGTACACGGAACTGGCAATGTGGAGTTTGTGTGTACACGGAACTGGCAATGTGGAGTTTTTGTGTACACGGAACTGGCAGTGTGGAGTTTGTGTGCACTCAGAACTGGCAGTGTGGAGTTTGCGTGTACACGGAACTGGCAGTGTGGAGTTTGTGTATACTCGAAACTGGCAGTGTGGAGTTTGCGTGTACTCAGAACTGGCAGTGTGGAGTTTGCGTGTACACTGAACTGGCAGTGTGGAGTTTGTGTGTACACGGAACTGGCAATGTGGAGTTTGTGTGTACACGGAACTGGCAATGTGGAGTTTTTGTGTACACGGAACTGGCAGTGTGGAGTTTGTGTGCACTCAGAACTGGCAGTGTGGAGTTTGCGTGTACATGGAACTGGCAGTTCAGACAATGATTCAGGAGACATTTTACAAATGTCTGTAAAGCAATCTGTGTACTACTTAAATACTTCAAAGTTAACAATAATAACGACACATGTGACGATACTGCAATTTATTAAAACACAGATAATGACAAGTGTAGTGACGAAAACAGCTCTCATCACTAACTCACTCTTGCTACAAACTCTTCCAATTTCAAACATTGTACAAAATGAAATAAAATAGCAGTATTTCAGGAGATAGTTGGACATAGGAGGGAAGAAGAGAGGGTTAAGAAAATAAGCTTGACTAAATCTGAACTTAGCTTACAATAGTGATATAAAGAGTCGGTTGTATTGTTAAAAATACACATTACAGGTCATTCAAAGATAATTGAAATCTCTTCCTAAAAATAACTTTACCCTGATGCAAGTTGTCAACACTGAATCACATTATTAATCAAAATTGAGTTTGCAAACACATAAAAAAATTACTTGTTAGGATATTTAGTAGCAAAGTTGAACATGTGACTGGCAAGCAGCCAATCAAAAACTTAATGGTAAACATGTGACAGTTTGAAGTAGTCATAAGCAAACGGACGAATATGGCATAAGCAGTTAAACTGGTGAAACCAAATTGACAAGTCAAAAGTCAATTTCCAATAAACCTTTTCCTGTCAGTTACAAATATGCATCATAATCCTGAATAAGACCTGTCACCCAAAACCACAAGAATAAAATAAACATGATTTATATATACAATTTGAGGTAAATACCAACAAAATAATTAAAAGTTTTAAAAATAAGTGCAGAAATCTAAGCGCAATAATGTGGCAAGAACTAGTTTTTTACTTCTTTCTGTTCAGTCCCTCAGTTTTATTTATTTTTGTTTTGGTTCATTTTTACAGGTTCAGCAAAGCACCACTGGTTCAAGTTAAAAATCAGTCTTGAACTAATCTGCATATTTTGAAACACAGTAAGTCTTTCATATACGATACCCCCTCCCCGACATTGGACAAATTACATGCACACAAAAAAGCTGTTTTAAAACTAAGTTTGTCAGAATTAGTTGGAGATCACACATAAAAGCACCAATACTTGATACATTTGTCATTAGTTTTAAATACAAGTTTGAACAGCTGCTATCTAAAGGTCAGACTTGACACACTGTCATGTGACCCCATTCAACCAATAATCAGGCAATACTGTCAGATTAAAAACTCTCTTGATTGATTCCAAAGTAAATGTGAAAGTAAGTGAAAAAGGCAGTTAAAACCAACCCAGATTGCTTGAAGCGGTTAAAACCTCTCACATATTCATGTCCTTCCCCCCCCCCAAAAAAAATTGAGTAAACTGTGAATATAAATGCAATAATAAACAATCTGATTATAATAGTAACTTTGAATCAATGTGTAAATTTGTTTCAGGAAATCTCCCATAATGCACTGCAACAAGAGTACTATTATTTATATTTTATTTAAGATCATTTTTTTTTTATAGGAAAATGTATTTTTCAGAGAGCAAAAATAATGAAACAATACTGTATCCCAATTGTGTTGAACACTCCCTGATTTGAATATGTATATCTGTACATGCTTGGATTGGTTGCAAACAAGTGACTAATCTCAAACACAGGCATTATATAAAAAAAACCAATTATAGTATTTTTAACAGAAAAGTTGTAAATTTTTCAAAATATGGACTTGTTCATGGTTACTTACTGTTGTAAAGCTAAGAATTACGATAAGCAATCATGGGATTAACTTACAATGGGAAATGCAAGACAAGCTAAGCTATCTTGTAAATTATTCTGTTCTTTAAAATGCATAAATTTGTCTTCACATGTTGATTTATCATAGCCATCTGAAACAGTTTAGAAGACAGCACTACCAGACATTAATACAGCCACATCTACACAAGTGTGCAAACAATCCTATTTGATGGGGTGGAGGGGATAAAGCTGTCAAATGGAATGTCTAAAAGAAGATAAAAACATTGACTCAAGAGGGACATAATGGCATAGGTAGGGAAGGATAAATATGTAAATGACATATCCAATAACTACACACAGTAAACAACGTATAATTTAGGCACTTGTATCCTGCTTAGGTTTGACAAACCTTCACAGGTATGGGTTATCACACTGATGACTAAAACACTTATTGAATAAAAAACTGTTAACTTGAATATCAGATATACACTCAGGTAGTAAACTATTCTACTATCTAGGAGCACATGCATCAGCTAAATTTCTCTGCTTTCATCAGAAGCATATTTTTATGCTCCCATGAAATATTATTGTAAGGAAATGTTTTCTTGACTTTTACCCTGGGTTGTAAATCAAGTGATTATGTGAGTAAAAGAACGAATGTACAAAACATTTACAATTGCGAAGTAGATGCTATGAATCCCAAATGGTATGATAAAAGACACGCCATAAAGTTCAAATGTCTCGATTGACAATTATTTGGGGTATGAATCTCGTACAATGCTTGGGTCAGGAAAAATTCAAGAAGCTTATTCCATATACATAAATTTCTATTTAAAAAAATGTTTGCTTTATTGTACATAGTTGCATGTTCTGTGCAGCATTAATTAACAATAGTGTGTAAAAGCAGTGTGCAGTTTCAATGCAAATTTGAACATTTTGAGACCCGTCTATAGAGGCACCGTGTTTATCTTTTGAATGGCACATTTTTTCTATATTTCATTTTGGATCAAAAGGACACACTTTCTTGATGCCCGCAAATCTTGACTAATAGGGTACATGGCAGCCAAGGTTTATATCCTGCAATTACCCAATGATTGTCACAGGTCAAAATTACACATACAGATATTGAAAACCAAGCAAGAATTCACAATGCATTGGTGAACATCAATGTGTCAAAATTGATTTAGTTTAATATGGTTTTAATTAGGATGAGCAAATTTTGTTTTTGTTTCAAATTTCCTGAGAGGAATTAACTCTGTTTTATTAGGTTAAAAAAAATACTATAAAGCCATGACTACAAGTTATGTTATGGCCGTAGAGCTACAGACAGGAACACCACCATAGCCTTGCATACTTGTTTATAAACAGAACATCTGTCGATGAGAAACACAATTGAATAAAACAGTACAAGTTTAACAGTAGATTACATTTAATGTCCATTTTGTATCCCTAAACTCTAATATTATGCAGTGAAGCGCCCTCAATGTACACAAGCTGCATAATGTATTCAAGTAATTTGTAGTCACTCAATTTCAATAAATGCTGGTCAAGTTCAAACAAAAATTGAACACAGTGTGAGAAGAGTCTGTATGAATGGCGTTGAATACTAATATAACACCACCAGAGTAAACAATTAGGGGGTTACAGCAACAGGAGGAAGTACCACCTTTCCTCATTTAAAGGAGTTGCAACGATCAAACTTGTTTTAAAGCAAATCATCTGTCTGCATGATGCATATTGCAACCTTGATAATATCCCATAATCTCAACTCATACTTGTATCCATAGAAACCATAGGGCAGCCATTTTGAACTAAAAATGATCAAATTTGAAATGCAAAACCAAAATGTAGTCTGTTGGGGGACAATATTTAACAGTTAGCGCAATGTTTGGACAAATGTAGTAAGCTAGCAAGACAACAATTATGTGAAAAAAATACCCTTAAGTTGAAGATTTCATGCCGGGTAGAACATGAATTGCTGCAGTAAACTCTTTATATACACACATCAATTTATTCCTTTTGTGCTAATAATAAAATTAGTATTTTGTTCATAGAATTCACATCAGTTGCAAGGGTTGGATTTAATAATGTCCCATTCATATATTTATACAGTCAAGAAAAAATTGCAAATAAAACTAAAAAAGTTCCAAAAAAAATCCCCTCTGAATTGTTAAAATTATAAATTGAATTCCCTCCAGACATGCCTGGCACCATGTCAATACTGTAAAACTTATTAAATTGCAGGAGCTTGCTTGATTAGGTAACTCAAAGTCCTTGCTATAGCTATAAACACAAGTATCATATTCTGATTCAGGCTGGATAAAATGAGAATGAACTAGTAATAGTTCTGGTTCAAACTGGACCGTTTTGTTGAGTTTGAAGGTCCCATTGCTGCAAGGCCTCTCTAGCTTGAGCTCTGTAAATTAATAAAAGAAAACAATTTTGCTTGAATCAGACTCGTATTTAATGAAATCAATCCCATTCTCTCATGTCTCCCATCTTTGGTGCAACCCCACTCCTCCCTCTCCTGTTTCCCATCCTTGGGGCAACCCCCACCTTGCCCTCTCCTGTTTCCTGTTCTTGGAGGCAACCCCAACTTGTCCATGTCCTGTCTTCTATCCTTTAGGGCAATCTCCACCCCTCCCTCTCATTCATCTCACACTTTGTATCCTCAGCTCTATCCACTCACACAGGAGTAACAGATAAAACATATCATTCTTAAAGGACAGCAAAAATATATTAATAGCAGGTCTTGAATCATGCTCTCCCAATTCACATCTTCTCCATCTATTCCCACTTCACTAATCCTTATCTTGTTGGTGCCCTCCCCACTATTTTTTCCAAATCTACCATCAGAGTGTTCCATATATGCATATATTGTCTCTCACTTGCAATTGACTGCTATTGTAACGATGATCAGTGGTAGATCTGAGCAGCATAACCTACCTAACTTGTTCTAACTTGGCTTTTTCTGCTGCAGTCAATCCATCGACTGGTTCATCTTGCGTACTTGTGGGTGGAGGTGTTTTTTGAGTAGTCTCCTGCATTGCTGGTCCATTGGGCGATTTAGGAGAATTAGAACTGGATTTCATTAAGCCACTGGATGAGAGGAAACTAATAGATCAGAACACCACAGCCATCACAACATACACATGGAGGTAAGGAAATGAGAAACAAAGCAGCCAACCCATTAAGCATCCATAGTGCGTAGTGGTGTTATAGCATGCATTGTGAATGAATGGATTAATAATAAACACGGATGCAGTGAAATAACAAATAGTGTACAATACATGTACATATAAATAGAAATAGAAGTGACAGAGTAGGTAAGTTATAGTGTGAAAACAATAATAAGAACAAATAAACAGACAACAGGAAAAAAAGAAAAGAAAAAAAAAACAATTGTCAAAATTCACTCGAAAATTAATGGGGATTATTGGGAAAAAGGTTATCTAATAAATTTAGTCAAATGACACTGCTAATTGATAAATAAACGCGATCCAGATATTATTGTGATTTCCATACTTACATACAATAATACAAAACACAATCTATATATAAATTATCCAATGCATTGCATATCTCATGATAAATAACACATTTTGTAATTTTGTTAATGGCATGTGTACATTTGTGTAGTTGTAAAATGTGATACATACGATACCTATTCAAAATTACCCGGTAAGTGCACAATGTTTATTGGAAGAAAGCCATGGCAAAACAGCATTATGCAATGGAGGAAGCCTTCTTCAGACTAAAGTCAATATATTGATTCTGGCTTAGTATTAAACAAAATGTGAAATTCTCCAAAATCCGAATGTACATACAGTCCATTTCTGTCAAGCTATATATAAAATCTAATCCGATGTAGCAAAGTAATTTCTAGCTTCTTGTTACATTTACTTACTTAAAATTATCACTAAGATCATCATCCTCTTCTTCTGCTGCTGCTGCTGCTGCCACCACCACAGTTTCTGTTCTGCTGTCCTGGGAACCTGCATCTGTAATGGTAATTTGTGTTTTTGCTTCTTCTATTTTGATTGATAATTCTGTTTTATGGCTTGGTTGTCTGATTTCACTATTACTAATGACAATGTTCTTGTTATGAAATGATTTCTCCTGAACAGTCATACTTGAAATAACTTCACTAGAGACTCTAATGTTGTCACTGCTTTGTGGCTTGTCTGTCTCAGGTGGTGCTATAATCCTGTCATCTGTGGAAGATATATGTTGTGATTCTGAACTCTGGCTATCATCCTCCATCTTTGTGCTGCAAAATACATTCAGAAATTTATTTATTTAACAGATCAGAAGAAAAAAATCAACTTACAAATATAAAAATCTAAACAGATTGTGATCCGAGAAATCCTTGTAAATAAGATGGTTAAAAGTATCAAACTGAACAGAATAACTGTACAGAGAAGGGGCTATAAAATCGGTTATTTAATCTTTAAAGCACGGTGGTCGTCGCGCAGCGCGTGTTCGAATTTCATGTAAATAAACAATGTATTTTACATGCATTGTATACGTCGCTATGAGTCCCATATCGAACAGGACGCGGCGCGACGACTGTCGCCCTTTAAACAATTTTCTGGTTTACAAAATCAGCCCAGGCATTCCCAAGAAATTATTACAACGAAACCCAAATCTTAATTTGGTGGAAAGAGACTAATAAGCCATACACTCATGGTTCAGTACGACCCTCTACAATTATGACTACCCTCTGAAACAACTGCCACTACATAGAGTGACATTAACTGTAAATTTGTTGCAAGGGTAACACTCACCTTTCTTCAATGGTATTTGTAGTTGGTGGCGGTGGCGGTTGTTGTTGTTGTTCAGCACCAATTTCTATTGTTTCACTTGATATGAGATTTGGAGAGGGACTTCTCACCACTACAATTCAACAGTGAAGCAAAGTGTCAAAATCTCACCCAATTGTTTTTTAAACCTATCCACCACCAGCCTTTGTTACTTATCATGGAACACTGAATTCGTCAGAAGAATATGAGCAAACCACTTTTTTTTTAAAAACATACATACTAATTCACATATTAAGTTACTAAGACATTGCATCTCTACTTATAAATTTATTACTCACAGTATTTAGCAGCTTCTGTTGTGTTTACATCTGACGGTTCACTTTCCATTTCAATAGGTGAACTGCTACGAAGTTCTAATGACGTATTACTGCCAGGACAAGTAATGAATTTCAGTTTAGTCATAATTTGATGATTCTATTATGGCAAGTATTTAAAGCTGTATTGTCTACTTTATTGTATTACAGGCCTTTGACATACATAGTTGTATGGAACAATTGAGTACTCAGTAGTTCATTGCAAATTGCCAAAAAATGAACCATGTATACTTGAGATAGTAATTTAAAAGGTGGTGGTTGTTGCACATGTTCAAATTTCATATAAAAACCTATTGTAGTTTACACTCGTCTTATACCGAAAAGGACAAGATATGGCAGCCACCGCCCTTTTAACATTACTATCAGAGCCATATACATAAACTAATCTTACAGAAATGTTAATAAGATGACAAATGATGCATATCTATTATTAACTGAACAATGAATATGAATAAACACAAAACAAAAATAGCATGTCATATATGTGAATGTCAAATCATATGTGGAGTTCATATATGTGGATGTCAAAATGCAGAATTCATACGTGATGTCAAATATGTGGAATTCATATACACGGATGTCAAATGTGTGGAATTCATGCGAGTTCATACACATGTCAAATATGTGTAATTCATACATGTGGATGTCAAATGTGTAATTCATACATGTGGATGTCAAATGTGTGGAACTCGTATACGTGGATGTCAAATGTGTGGAACTCGTACGTGGATGTCAAATGTGTGGAACTCGTATGTGGATGTCAAATGTGTGTTTACACAGTGATGTGAAACATGTAGGGTTCATACATGTCAAATATGTGTAGATCTCAAGTTCAAATATATTTATTGTGTTCATAAATATGTTGTGATCATACAAGCGTTGGGCTGTGTGGACTCAAATACGTGGATGTCAAATGTGTGGAACTCGTATGTGGATGTCAAATGTGTGGAACTCTTATACGTGGATGTCAAATGTGTGGAACTCGTATGTGGATGTCAAATGTGTGGAACTCATATATGTGGATGTCAAATATGTGTTTACACAGTGATGTGAAACATGTAGGGTTCATACATGTCAAATATGTGTAGATCTCAAGTTCAAATATATTTATTGTGTTCATAAATATGTTGTGATCATACAAGTGTTGGGCTGTGTGGACTCATATACGTGGATGTCAAATGTGTGGAACTCATATGTGGATGTCAAATGTGTGGAACTCGTATGTGGATGTCAAATGTGTGGAACTCGTATGTGGATGTCAAATGTGTGGAACTCGTATGTGGATGTCAAATGTGTGGAACTCGTATGTGGATATCAAATGTGTGGAACTCATATATGTGGATGTCAAATATGTGTTTACTCAGTGATGTGAAACATGTATGGTTCATACATGTCAAATATGTGTAGACCTCAAGTTCAAATATATTTATTGTGTTCATAAATATGTTGTGATCATACAAGTGTTGGGCTCATACAAGTTCACATATATATTTCATACATATGTTGTATGTATGTATTTATTTGTCTGCATGCATGCAAACTCTCCTGCACTGATATATGTCGCATTCACTGCAGATACATTTCATCAATGCGAAAATGAGTCAGCAATGGTCACCACATGATAAAAGCTAGTTATTCATTAAGATAAAAATTAAGTCAGATTTTGATGATTATTGTTGTACTTATATTTACAGACGTTTCCAAACAACTTACCAATAAAGTCATTTAATTTCACCATCCTTAAATGAATATAATTTCCAAAACATGGCTTTTTGATTAATGATTGTAATATTGATGCTTTAAAACAAAATTTGTCTCATACGCCGATACATAAACAACATGAAATAAGTATATGATAAACTTTCCAGAATAATTTTGAATTAATTAAGAGGCTATTGTGTCACTACAATAAAATTACTTAACAGCAGCCTGGTTTTTGGAAAATTACAAGTATTTTTGGTACTATACATCAGAAAACATGCCCGCAGTGCGCCAGCAAGAAATTCAACATTTTAAACAAGGACTGACAAGACAAGACATTTTGGGATGATTTTAACTAAGCTGAAGGGTGACAGTCGTCGCGCCGCGCATGTGCGACATTTGCGTTGATAAACATCGACTTTCCCACAATCCAATGCACTCTTCTAATGGAAATCACAAGTATTAGGTTTGACATGGGCGGGACTTGCACTAATTACCGCCGGTGAATCCTTCGATACCTTCTAATAACCTAAAAATACCTTATTAAAGCTTGGTAACGCCTCAGTTTGTACTCATTGATCTGCGCAATAGCCTATAATGCCATCTTTGTTTATATGAGACCCATATATCTCACGCATGCGTGGCGCAATGACTACCACATGTTGACTTTACCCACAATCATACATATGTTAACCTCGTACATACCGATACATGGAATTCATACTGTGTGTACACTGATGTCATGGAATTCATACTGTGTGTCCACTGATGTCATGGAATTCATACTGTGTGTACACTGATGTCATGGAATTCATACTGTGTGTACACTGATGTCATGGAATTCATACTGTGTGTACACTGATGTCATGGAATTCATACTGTGTGTACACTGATGTCATGGAATTCATACTGTGTGTACACTGATGTCATGGAATTCATACTGTGTGTCCACTGATGTCATGGAATTCATACTGTGTGTACACTGATGTCATGGAATTCATACTGAGTGTACACTGATGTCATGGAATTCATACTGTGTGTACACTAAATAAATAAACGCTGCTCGGACTGATAAGTATGATATATTGAAGATAATATTTGGTATTTTTAATAGTTATTTAGGACTACGATTACCAAATATTATCTTCAATATATCATGTGTATACACTGATGTCATGGAATTCATACTGTGTGTACACTGATGTCATGGAATTCATACTGTGTGTACACTGATGTCATGGAATTCATACTGTGTGTACACTGATGTCATGGAATTCATACTGTGTGTACACTGATGTCATGGAATTCATACTGTGTATACACTAAATAAATAAACGCTGCTCGGACTGATAAGTATGATATATTGAAGATAATATTTGGTATTTTTAATAGTTATTTAGGACTACGATTACCAAATATTATCTTCAATATATCATGTGTATACACTGATGTCATGGAATTCATACTGTGTGTACACTGATGTCATGGAATTCATACTGTGTGTACACTGATGTCATGGAATTCATACTGTGTGTACACTGATGTCATGGAATTCATACTGTGTGTACACTGATGTCATGGAATTCATACTGAGTATACACTGATGTCATGGAATTCATACTGAGTATACACTGATGTCAATTTACAATTGGTGAGTTATACTGGACTACGTGATAGGTGTAAATCCATGGTGCACAAAAACAATGTGACAGAAGAAACCCTTCAGAACTTCAAGCAGACAAAAACACTTCAAACTGTAATGTTGATTGAAATAAACAATTTCTCCCTGAGAAAACAAGAGTCCATCATATTCAATATTGTATTTTAATTGAACTATTAATTTTTTTAAATCTAATTTGAGAAGATATTGAGTTGAGATTATATAGAGCTGATAACTTGAGGAATTAACATCACAAGATAACAGTAAACCAAAATAAAAAGTGTTATTTATTGCTGAATCCAAAATGATCACTCCTGCAATGCTCAGGAGAAAACACAGCGCAGAACAGACATACAGTCGTACTGGAATTGAACTACACACAGTTTGAGTTACCTGCTGTCATTTTTAAAGGCATTATTAAAATCATCAAATTTAGCCCACCCAGTATCATCAGCTCCATTATTACTACTAGAAGTACTTGAATCCCACCCTGATGGAGTCGTATCCATGGCAACAGTTTCCATTGGGGCATCATCAAAATTTGCCCATCCTGAAAAAGGAATGAAGTAAAAGATTACCAGATGTCAAAGATAATGTCAAAGGTGATGTCAACATTAGTATATAGAATCAAAATACCATGTTCAAAAACGGCCCGATCAAAATTTGTTTTGAGAGGAAAATTGGAAAAAAATGTAAACACAAACAAAAGTTTACTTTAATTGTAAATGAGGTAAATTGGCCATTATTTATGCACCCATATGTTTGATATGGCCCACTTTACAATACAATAGAACATGCTGCAATATCTCATGTGAGTGCAATATACAATAACAAACCTTCTGAAGAATCTACATCCATCTTCATTTCATCTTGTGCTGTTGTTGAGGTTACTGTTGCTGCAGTTACTGCTGGCAAGGATGAGTCATCTCCAAAGGCACCATTTTCTTCTTCATCACTATCAGTACTGTTGTCACTATGGTTACTACCTGCATCCTCACCAGGAGGTGCATCCGGGGAAATTTGACTAGAAGATATAATAAATCTACAACTGTGATTGACAAAGAAGAGTACATCAAGAATTACATTAACTGGAGTTCATTCTATAAAACAATCACATACTTCAGCTGAACTTTCTTGTTTGCAGTGATGAAATGTCAACAATCAATATAATGGTCACTACTCTGTAAAGTATCCTGAATGTTCTAAACCATGTATTGACAGTTACAGTACAATGCAACTCATGGTTTTGTTTTACAAGCATACATATTTTAGCTTATATAGCAGCGACAATATCTCATGTCAAAATAAGTCTACAAATAATCTTTTTAGCATTAGTCAACAGTATGGACTTTTTTGACCCCATATTTTTATTTAAAGAACGGCAGTCGTCACACCGCGTCCTGTTCGATATGAGACTCATAGCGACGTATACAATGCATGTAAAATACATTGTTTATTTGCGACGACCACCGCACTTTAATTTTCTTCATCCATTTAACACGAAGTATAAAATATGTAAAAATAAATATTTTTACTATCATGTAGCGTTCTACTTTAAGGCATGTAATAATATAATACAAACTAAATACAGTCATTTGTGCCATTAGACAAATTTACAAATTACTTTGTTTGCACACAAATGCATAAATTTGGGCGGCATCCTAGTACTAAGGTTTTATTTATTAACACTCATCCAATAAAGATATCAAGACCCACCTTTTTCTAGTGGCCGTTGAAAACGTCAGCTCTTTTTCTTCCCAGATATCCTCCTCATCACTGCCACTGTCATTGAACTGTTGTATTCTTTCATTACAACATGCTTCAAACAAGGCTGAGTTAGGCTGTAATACAACAGAATACTACTTATAGCTAACTCAACAAACACATACCAATGACCTGTCTACTCACTAATCATTGCAAAGTACATTAACAAAGTGTTAGTCATCCATGCATTATGCTTAGTATCGTTTTAGAACTTTTAAAAAATGACTTTGTTGACGTTTATATCGATACATTTGAGAATTCACTTCACAGCAGAATGAAATGAAATTCACACTTACCAAAAACTTCGTTTTTAATATGATTATTGTTTTGTTTTTTAGTTGAATAAAATTATTATGTATGTTCTCAGAGTTGACAATAAATGCCAGAAGTGTATCACTATTTAAGTCAACATAATCATTTGAACAGAAGACTAAGAGTTATTAATAAATAAACTTAGAGTTGTGTCCAAGGCTTTATTACAATTGTCTAGCTAGCACCCACTGAGAGAACAATACCCAAAATTATCAAACTTGCAAGGTTACTTTGTCATCACATGCAGGTTATTTGATGCATTCATTTTCTATTTGATAGATGAGAAGATTCCAAGAAAGGTTTTTACACTTTACATATAAATAACGATTTATACAGACTGTAGTAAGGATATTAGGTCAAATGTCAGGTGATTTATATACTTGATCTTTGCCATCACAGCAAAATGCCATAAATTTAGATTGCAAGTTATAAACCTCGTCGCAAGAATTAAAATGTAGAGGATGTTTTATATGACAGCAAGAGATACAAAATCTTGTCCAACAGCACAAATTTATCCGGCCCAATCAATCTTATCGTACCTGCATTTGTCAATGAGGCGATTTTGGAAAACAATTGAGATATTCTAAGAAATACTGAAAGATCCCCCTAACAAAGTCCTAAAGTGGAACCCTTGAGAGAAATACAATAATTCATATCAGGGGTTTCATTTTAAAGACTATGCTAAGGGGTCTGTTTTGACTTGTTGACTTACACTTACATTGTCCTCATTGGCTGATATTGAAAAGTTGATATCTGAGATACGATCGAAAGGAGCACTGAAAAAAAATGACATCAAACATTTGTTATGAAGAACAACTGTATGAATATAGATTAAAGGGTGTTTTCAAAGATAAAATAAAAGGATAACAGTGTTTATAAAATAAACGAATGACCAAAACACAGTGCCATTATTATACATTTTCAAGATAAGTTGTAATATTGCTAATTAGGTAATCCAGAAGTACTGTTTTTATAAAACAAGCAGCCTATCGGCTGAGATAGCTCCGCTGTTAGCGATGCACATTTCAATTAAAGAACTAAAGACATGATTAGAAAATGAACAATATGTATAGTATCAAAGCAATCGGACTTACAGTTTTTAACAAGAAGTCGAAAATATCACTTTCTACCAAAAATGACAAAAATATTCACCAAAATTAGAGAATTGAAGATATCATCACGAAATAAACAAATCTGAGAAAGGTCTACATGTAGTATCTATATATGTAATATCAAAGCAATTGAATTTTTGTTTTTTAACAAGAAGTCGAAAATATCACTTTTTACCAAAAATTACAAAAATATTCACCAAAATTAGAGAATTGAAGATATCATCACAAAATGAACAAATCTGAGAGAGGTCCACATGTAGTACCTATATATGTAATATAAAAACAATTGGACTTACAGTTTTTAACAAGAAGTCGAAAATATCACTTTTTACCAAAAATGACAAAAATATTCACCAAAATTAAAGAATTGAAGATATCAACACAAAATGAACAAATCTGAGAAAGGTCTACATGGAGTATCTATATATGTAATATCAAAGCAATTGAATTTTTGTTTTTTAACAAGAAGTCGTAAATATCACTTATTACCAAAAATGACAAAAATATTCACCAAAATTAAAGAATTGAAGATATCAACATGAAATGAACAAACCTAAGAGAGGTCTACCCAAGGTACATATACACCAAGTATCAAATCATTCAGGCTTGTAGTTTTCAAGAAGAAGTCGAAAAAGTAAAACATTGACACGGACGCTCACTTATATGATAAGCTCCGCTCGACAAAGTCGACAGCGGAGCTAAAAATATCACAATATTCTACATTTAAGATCAGAGTAACTTTAACATATCTCTTTGAACGGCATTTTTATTCTGCCACATTTTGTCTATTTTTATATGTTTTTCTACAACTTCTTCATTTTTACATAAAACTATTGTTTAAAGGACATGATCCAAATGCCTAACAAATATAAGGATAAAATTAAACGGATATAAATATTTTGCGAAACATGACAAAAATTCACTTTATTGTTAGAACAGTTAACTTAATTTCAGCATAGACACCCAAAACAATCAGGAAATTTCTTTATACTTGACAATTTGATAGCATGCCCTCTATATTTATTTTAGGTTTTCACACATTGGTTGCAATAATGTATAATGTACTTGAGTAACTATGGTAACTTACTTGACATTATCCTCCTGGTCACCAAAGTCTTCATCGTTAAATCCAAACTGGTCAATAAAATTGGACGTCATTTGTTGCATCTGATAATCAGAGAAGGCCTGACAATAGGCATCAGACCAAAAAAACGTACATTGACTGACTATTATGCTACTGCACACATGCACTATACTATATATATATATGCACACAATTCTGGTTTTTACAACTTTTTAAATCCCACTTGTGACTGTACATTCATCAATAATACAAATTGTCATGCACATGTTAGCTTTGTAATCCGATTGAAAAGATGTTTATTCATTGAAAGATTTTATTGAACTTTACTGCCCAAAAAGTTTGCCAGATTATAATTATACAGTCAAACCTGTCTATAAAGGACAGTCAGTGGACTGAGCCAAACTGTCCTTTATATACAGGTGGTCTTTATATGGAGGTGGCCTAATTTATTCATGTAATCATGAATATTAATTAGGGTGGGAATTTTAAGGAGATCATCAGCAAAACAAACCTACAATGAATTGGTCTTTTTAATAAGTCACTCATTTTCATCTGGATAATTACACAGCTTTACTTTTTTACTACAAATTATATCATGTAAATTC